TTTCCCCGTTTATTCAACTAAATCTATCTACTGCTCCCTCTCTCAGCAGGGTGCCTAGCTGGCTGGGGAGCTTCAGGGCTGGAGGAGAGATGACACTTCACTTGATGGTCACAGCCTGCTGAAGCTATTTGCACCTCATGAAGCATCCAAGATGTCGGGAAGGATATGCATATACTAAAGGTCAATGTCCTACTCATAGTTAAATTTTACTGGACTATGAAGTAGGGTCAAGTGTTCTAATACTAATCACTGATGCTTAACCAGCAATCTCTGTCAGTTGCCATTCTAAGCACTTTAGATATGAAAATTTAACTTTTTATATAAATTTTCACAAAATCTTCACAAAGCACCTTAGAAGTAGGAACTGTTGTTAGTCCTCACTTAAAAGATGAAGACATTGAAGCACAAAGAGGTTAAGTAACTAGCTCAAGATTATGAAGCTAGACAGTAATACAACAGATACCTGACCGAGACAGCAGCATTGCAGAACCTGGACCCACAGGATATTGCCTCCCAGCATCATCTTGGACTAGCCATGTGACATTTCTGAGGTCCAGGGGCCTCTCATGCCTCATCCACATGAGGATATTGGACTAGAGTGGAGGTATCCTGACTTCTCAGAAGTGGAATGGGCAGGGACAACAGATGACAGAACATTTGCTTGAGCTGAAGCTTTCTTTTCCTCACCTTCCTGCTTCTTTCTCAACCCAAGGGACTCTTAAGCCCCTGGGAAAGATCTCAGGACCCCAGGGAACTAGAGGGCCTCAAAGAATTACTTAGCTAGTACTTATTTAGCACTTACTGTATGAGGTGTTTTAGAAATATTGTCCATTTAATCCTCACAATAACTTGTTGGGGCAGCCCTTATTATATTCATTTTACAGATGACAAGCCAATTAAATTAAATAGCCAGCCCAAGGTCACGCAGTTAGTAACAGCAAAACTGGAATGGAAATCCACGTCTGGCTGACACCAACGCCCATGCCTTTCACAGCAAACTCCACGGTCCCTTTGACAGTGAGACTGTGTCCTGGGAATCGGTGAATTGGGGTCAGTTTCAAGCCTACTCTAGAGTCACCATGCCAGCTAAGGAAAAGGGGAATATGATCCTTCCTGCAGGGCAGTGAGGAAGCTGAAGGTAGAGATGAGCTTACAGGAGGAACCCAAATGACACCGGGCATCCCCAGTCCAGTTCAGGTCGCCTCCGGCAGCCAGCTAGCTGTCAGGGCCACAGTCTGTCGATAAGAATGGAGGCCATCTCTGCCGTGACAGAAGGCTGAAGTCAGAGGAAACTTCTGATCTAAGCTCTGACTCTTGGGCCTCTTTTTAGATTCTGGTTTCCACACTGGGAGGTAGCAGAAGCAGACGCCTTTGCCTCCAGCTCAGACATGAGCTGCCTCTAGGAGGAAACTGCAGACTCTGGCTGAGCAGGGCTGTGGGATCAGCCCACGTCACTCAGCCCACTTGGTGGTTGCTTATCTACGCTTGCCAGGTAAGGAGGGATTGTTGGTTAGAGGCCCCTGGAGGCCTCCTTTACTGAAGGCATGTCTTGTTTCTAGAGCTTGCGGTTGTTGCTCTAAATCCAGGGTCTCGAGAGAAAAGTGATCTCAAAGGGTCCTTGATTTTCTCTCCCAGTTTAAAAAATGACCTGATTTCTAGGCAGTGCAACTTAGTAGAAGAGAATGGGAAGACCTATGTTCTAGCCCTGGCTCTTCTCTGACTGGCTGTATGAACTTGCGTAAGTCTCAATCCCTCTCTGGCCTTAGAGAGGAGAAGCAACTGACCAAGTTCACCCAGCAAGCTAGTGACACAGTCAGGACTTAAAACTAGGTCCCTATTAGCTCTTAAAGCTAAGCGCCCTAATGGGTTCATTACATCACTGGATTCATTCACTAATGCAACAATGTTCATTAAGCACTCCCTCTGTGCCAGGGACTGTGCCAGGCACCAGGAATACTGTGGTGAACAGAAAGCACACTCTAAAGTAGAGGGAAACTGAAATTATCAAGTCATTTGTTTTCCATTTAAAAATGGGAAAGGCATAGTGACTTGCTCAAGTTCACAGAGAAAGTGAAGTGGTACGAAGTAACCTGAATGAGTGTAGTTTAATTTAGTATATTTAGCTGAATTTTGTGATTGAAGGGGACAAAGGGGCTGATAAAGAATGAGAAGAGAGGAAAGACAGACTTGTTTGGAAACCAAGTCACAGGCTGAGAGGTCAATAGCAAATGAACCCAAGCAGGTATTCATTCCCCATTGCAGCTCTTTGTCTCTCTCTAGGAATAGTAAGAATGTTTATTTTCAGAGGAGTAGCCAGTATAAAGTGTGATTTTCCTAACTAATATGAACTAAAGCTGGGAATGAAAGCAAGGAAAATAATATTGGGACAAAGTTCAAAGTTCTTCCTCTATAAAGTCCTTGCTCAAATATTGGCTATGAAAGAGAGAGTAAAATGCCCTTATATGGTTTTCTGATTGTGTGAACTTGGCGAATTTAAGGGTGGATGTGAGGATGGTGGACAGTGAGCTTCTAAGAGACACACAACCCAATGGTATGTTAGAGCCATTTGTGCTTTGTGATCACAAGAAACACGTTGCCAGCTGATTTCTGGTGACACTCATTTTTCCTCACATGTCACCTGAGCATTCCATTTCAAGACTAGGAGCAAACTGACTTTACCTGAAAGGAATCACACACAGTTTTGAAGCTCACCATTTTAAATTAATCTATTGTAAACCAAAACTTCACACCCTAACTTATCTTTTCAGTAAATGTTGATTTTAATTGTTTTACAGCAGGTTATTTTTAGTGTCTGAACTGTTGAATATAATCAGGGTTGAAATAAGTTTTAAGATAAACCCAAGGAGACACGAAATTAAGATTGAATTCACTCTGGCTGGGCTATCTACATGGCTGTGATCTCCACTTTTTACTTAGTCACCAATGAGAGAACTGAAAGGAATAAGAAAGAGCCCTCATCTTGGAGGAGTTCACAGCCTAGTGGAGGAAATAGATGTATGAAGAGACTATTTCTGCACAATGCAATAGATGCTCTTGGAGAAGTATGCTCAAAGGGTAACCCTTAAGGCCATAATTTTTAGAAAAGATAGAGCACTTCCACTTCCCCATATCATAAATCCCTACAAAAAGGATATATTTTATGCCAACTCATATGGTGGCAATATGAAACACACAGCAATGATGCCCATTAGAGCAAGAATTTAGTGCCTCTGATGCCCTAACCACTACCTCAATCACCCTCCAACAGCTCTAGCCTGGCTCTCCTGAGGAGACCTGTCCAGCCTGTGGTCCAGAAGACCAGTGCTCCTCTATGGCTTGGGCTTCCAGGAGAGTGGTGGGACTTGGCCCAATGAACTGTGGGGACTGACACTTGCTGAACTTTCCTGACTGAGCCCCTGGAATGTTGCCCAATAACTTTTTCTCATCAGTATTTGCCCAGGTTCCTGGTTGGAGTTCATCTTCCTCGGAGAATTGATGATGGCACTTTGAAGGGCAAGAGTGCAGGAAAGGAAGCAGGACTGGGCAATGAGAAAATTGGGTGCCAGAAAGAAAAGGAGTGGAGAAAAGGGGGAGTCAAGCTAAAGAAGGCGATTTTACAGTTGCTGGATTTAGTCAGATCCTATCTGGTTGAGGCCCAGGCCTCATCTGGCTTAAGTCCGCCATGAGGGAGGAGTGTGTGTTGGCCCTGAACACTCATGGTCGAGCTGGACCACAGCTGCAGTCTCAGGCTGAATCCATCTGTGGAGGTCGGCCCCAGGGTGACCTTGGCCTCTTCCAAAACCTGTTCAGTCACACCAGGCTAAAGGATGGGGTGAATGGCAGGAGGCCAGATGGCAGGGGCTAAAGCTAGGGTGGATGCTGCAGATGATGGGTTCAGGGCCCCTGGCTGGACTTCTGTCCCCATCCTCATCAAACCCTCCTGCTGATGGCTGCCAGGAGGAAGCGGGTGGCTGTGGGGAATTAGTAATGAGATATGGAGTCATTCACCTCCAGGTCACTAGTTCAAAGCCAGGTCAACAGTGAGTCAAAGTTCCTGACCAAGGGGTACATGGTGGGGTTTCATCTGAGTGGCTTAAAGGAAGACATTTGCTCTCTCAGAAGACAACTCAGGCAGGTCAGCCTGGGCCACAGGGCAAGGAGCTCTGTCTCTGGTGACCCACTGTGCAGACCAGAGGCTTCCATGTGGGTCTTGTCTTTTTGACTCCATTCTCTCCAAGGCCCTGCTTCTTTGGCCCCAGGCCAAGTCACACAGTTATAGGGCATGCAGGTCAAAAGCATCCAGGTAGACAGCATTCAGATCATCTGGTGAGAGTTCTGCTTTCTTAGAAATCTTGGCTTTCTGAGGGCAGAGACCACACTGATTATATAACATCTCGATTTTATTTTGATTTTGCCTTATTATTATCTAAACTAGTTTACTTATTTGTTTACTTGTCTTTTGCCTGAAACTTACCACTATTTTCATTATGTTTTTTGAAAGCAGAAACTCCATCTATGCCTAGCATTTGTCAGGCACTTGAGACTTGTTTGCTGAATGAGTGAATGAATACATAAATTGAAGAATGAATCCCTGGTGCCTTAGTGTCTGGCAGAGAGGATGTGCTCAAAGATATTTGCCGAATGAATAAATGAATGAATGAATGGATGGATCAGAGAATGAAAGTTCTGAGAAATATCAGCTCCCAGAACACCAATGGTACCATTTCATTGCTAGAGAATCAGCAAGTTTTCCTCCAAACCAAACTAAAATCTCTAAACCCAAAGCATAGTGCTTGTCTCACAGGAGACGCTTGGAAATATTTCCTGAGTAAATAAATAAGGGGAATAGATGGATGGATGGACAGCAGGACCAAGCAAACAAGACTAGCATGCATGAATGAGGCAAAACCAAAAAGATTTATGAAAATTAATTTTTCCTTTTTATTCAAAATGTTGGCCTTTTGGTTTCCCTTTCTTTATAATTCTAAATCTCAAATTTTCCCATTCATTCAGTCTCTTCTTAATGGAGTTTTTTCATTCATCTGTTCATTTGTTTAGTCAGCACTCACTGGGTTTGTTCTATACACCAGGCACATACAAAGATGAAAAAGACACAATCTAAGCCATAAGTCAAATGGTGGAATTAGACAAGACTTCTAACTTCCTTTGCCTACCTACCACTTGGCTAACCTTTCTTTCTTCTTTCTTGTTTTTTTAAAAATCATATAACCTCTTGCCTGCTCATTCATGTTTACTCATGTGTTCACTGAGCGTTTGTTCCATGCCAGTCACTAACAGTGAGGTTACAACTATGAGTAAGATAGTCTGGTGGTATTTTTGTGTCGTTGTCTTTGTCTTGCAGCTATATGGTCTGTCCTAGATTATAAGTGACTACTCATTCAGATATAGAAGGGGAATTTAGTCATGAATCAGAATTAACATCTAATAAAAACTACAGGCAGGGGCTAGATTGAGACTGCTCTGTATCGTGACTATCCTTGCACCACTGACAATTAGCAGCTCTGCGGAGGTTTTCAACAATAAGACTGCTGATACAAAGGTATCATAATTTTGAGCTATATTTCTCTGGGCAAGAATTGAGTAGCCTCATAATTCAAGAAAATTGCTATAACATCTATGAGTGTCAACTATATGCCAGGTATTGTGCTAAGTGCTGGGGATGATGGGTGAAATCTTGCTCTGGGCCCTCTACAAGACCTGAATCTAGTCAAAGACATAAAAATGCTTTGTTCACTGTGATAAGGATTATAAACAAAGTATGTGCAAGTGCAGTGGGAACCCAGGAGAGAGCTTGCTGAATTGTTTTGGAAAGTTGGGGTGGGATTTATAGAGGAGCCAATATTTGAGGTTTGCTTTGGCCAAAGAATAGAAGTTTGTGAAATGCAAGAAGGGTGTTTAGGGAATGCGGTATGGCGTAGCCTAAGTCTGACAGTTGTAGATATGTGGAAGTTTGTAGAACCATGAGTTTGTGTGGCTGGAATGCAGGGTATTCAGAAGAGAGAGATAGAACATAGGACTGGAAAAGCATGTAGGGACCAAACTGCTTTTTAAAGGTCATGCTGAAGAGCTCAGTTTTTAAGTCTATGTAATAGGGGAGAATCAAATTAGCATTCCTCACTGTTATGTCTGGAAGGTCCCCATTTCCTACAATGCAGCAGATTAGATGACTTGAAAACTCCCCTGTTGTTCATAGCGTGTAAACAACATTTTCTACACACAAAGCTGAGCTCACAAGGAAATAAGAAAGATCCCCCAGGGGAAAGCAAGTAGAACCTGCCAGTGCAGCCAGCAAGTGAACTGATGTGAGGCAACCCTGGGTGTGGGGCATTATAGGGAGGGCTGGGTTTTGGGACTTTTAGGATTTTATATATTTTCATTTAGATTGGGTGTTTTAGGTTCACAGAAATAGTGACTATGAGGTCTTGGGTCTATGGCCAAATGGAAATTTGGTGTTAAGGCCTTCACATAAAGCTAGGAAAAGATTTATAAGGAAATATTCTCTGCTCACCTACAAAGAGAGATGCCATGTAAGCTTCTCTGTTGAGCCTGGGCCATGAGTGGAAGAAGAGGAAGTGTCCGCTATATTCTCATTACCAGGCGCCCACCTTCATGTTAATTTGGGTTCTCATTTACCTTATTGAGTGATCCTGGAATGCCCAAGTCAATGAAATAATGAGAAGTCATCTTTGAGGGATGATACTGCTAGGACCCCATGCAGAAGTGTAGAAAAAATGGTGCAGGACAAGTTCAATGGACGTCCTTCAGAATTCTTATGGTCAATGTAATGAATTTTCAACTCTGAAGTCCTAGTACCACAACCCGCCACTGGCAAACATTAGAAGATACAGCAAACAGTAGGTGTAGGCCACCAAGAATCTTCATTCAGAAAATAGAGCTATTGGAGAGAGAGTATAAATTAGTATTTTAAAAAATCATTAGTGATATATAAAGAAAAAAGTGACAAAAATAAGACATCATAAGACATTCTGAGAGACAACCACCCAGATTTGAAAAATAAATAGAACCTTGAAAAACAAAAGTGTACTAATTGGCATGGATTAGACATAGCTGAAGTGAGAGCTTAAGAACTGTAACCTTAAATGTAACCCTGAGGCTGGGACATAAGAGATAAAAAATAAAAAAACATGGGTAAGAGACAGGGAGGATAGAATGAAGGTAAACATGTGACTAACAGGAATTTCAGAAAAAGAATGTAAAGAGAATGAATAAAAGAAATAACCATAGAAAAGGGCTGAGAATTTCCCAGAATCTGTGAAAGAAATGAATCTTCAGAGGCAAGAAATGAGTCCTAAGAAAGATAAAATAAAATCTGTATCAAGTAACATCATAGAAAAACTTTTAAAAACCAAAAATAAATAGAAGATCTTAAAAGCAACAAGAGAAGCCCTGGTCAGGTAGCTCAGTTTTTTAAAACATTGTCCCCATACACCAAAGTTGCAGGTTCGATTCCCGGTCAGGACACATACAAGAATCAACCAATGAGTGCATAAATAAGTGGAACAACAAATTGATGTTGCTCTCCACCCCCCCTCCCTTTCTCTCTCTCAAATCAATTTTAAAATGCAACAAAAGAGAAATATGGGTTTCTCACAAAGAAATAATGAGAGGAACTGACTTGTCAAAAGGAACAATGGAAACCAGAGGTCAATGAAATAATGTTTTTAAAGTGCTGAGAGAAATAACTGTCAGCCTTCACTTTTAACTCCTTCAACTACCATTTAAAAACAAAAGGAAATAAAAACATTTTTAAGCAATGACCAAGAGGGTTTACCATTCAAGTACCCTGTGGAAAAGATTTCTAGAGTATGTATTTTAGAAAAGAAGAAACTGAACTCAAAGTGAAAGATTCAAAGGCAAGAGGGAATGGTGATTGAAGAAGTTGGTAAGCATCTAGGCAAAGCCAAAAGTGCATTAATTACTCAAAGCAATAATGATGATAATAATAAAATTTAAGGGTATAAAACTAAGGTGAAACTGTGTAAAATGCTGAATGCAATAACATGTAAAACAAGTTAAAATGTTCTAAATTCCCTATTTTATTTGGCAAGAGGGTATCAACATTTACTTTAGACTTTAGGTCCAACATGCTTGACAAAAGTTTCAGGTTAACCACTAAAAGAGTAGAAACAACATGTAATTTCTAAATTAATAGAGAGAAAGGGAGAAATATAGAAATCTTGATTGATCCAAAAGAGAAAAGGAAAAGAGGCAAAAAGGCATTAAAAAGCAGAATAAATAGAAAGTACATAAAGAAATGGTGGAAATAGCCCTGGCCTGTGTGGCTCAGTTGGTTGGGCATCTTTGTCCCATGTACTGAAAGGTGGTTGGTTCGATTCCCAGTTGGGGCACATGCCCAGGTTGTGAGCTCGATTCCTGGTAGGGGGCGTGCAAGAGGCAGCCGATTGATGTTTCACTCTCACATGGCTGTTTCTCCCTCTCTCTCTTCCTCTCCCTTTCCCCTTCCTTTCTCTCTCTAAAAATGTTTTAAAAAATATTTTAAAAAGAGAAATGGTGGAAATAAATCAAATATATTAGGAAACACAATAAATTGAAGTGGATTCGACTCACTAGTCAAAAGCAATTTCCAGGTTCGATGTAAAAAGAAAAAAAAAAATAGAAAGGAAACTTGCTTATGCTATTTTCAAAATACATACCTAAAACAGAAGTATCTTAAAAAGTTGAAAGAAAAGGGTAAAAAGAGGTATACCAGGCAAATATTGATTAAAACAAAACTGTAGCTATAATAGCTGTAGCGGAGTACATGTCTCTAAGGCAAAAAGATGTCATCATATAATGATAAAAGCAATAATTCATCAGGAAGATATAACACATTCAAATTTCTATTTATTTATCATAGACTGAAAAATGTGTAAAGCAAAGGTTGGCTGAATTGCAAGGAGAAACTGACACATCTTTATAGGCAATTTAAAAATACACCTTTCTGGTAATTGATAGATCAAGGGGCATAAAAATTGGCATGAATTTATAAGATTTGAATGACACAATGGACAAGATCAATCTAACAGACATATATAGAGATTTGTGCCCAACAATTGAAGAATGTACATTTTTTTCGAACACACAAGAAACAGTTACAAAAATTGACAAGGTGCTAAGCCACAAAGAAAGTCTCAACAAGTGTCAAAGAATAAACATCATATAGTCAACCTTCTCTGACCAAAATAAAATTAAGTTACAAATGAAGAACAAAAGGTAACTGAAAACAACAACACATATTTAGAAATCACGATAGAAATGAACAAATACCCAGAACAAAATTTGTAATAACACTTGAGGAATATAGTTAAGGAGTTCTGCCCAGCTGGCATGGCTCAGGGGTTGGCCATCGACTGAAGATCCAGGAGATCGAGGTTTGATCCCCGGTCAAGGCACTTGCCCGGGTTTTGGGCTTGATCCCCAGCAGGGGGCGTGCAGGAGGCAACCTATTGATGTTTCTCACTGATGTTTCTATCTCTCTCTCTCTCTCCCTCTCCCTTCCTCTCTCTGAAATCAATAAAGACATATAAAACAAAAGTATTAAAAAAAAAAAGTTCTGAGAGCAGTGATTCTCAACTGGGGACACTTGGCAGTATCTGGAGACATTTCTGTGTGTCACAGAGAGGGGCAGAGACTAACATCTTCTGGGTAGAGGCCAGAGATGCTGCTATCCTACATTGCAAAGGACAGCCACCTACAGCAAAGAATTCTCTGACCCCCAAATGTCAATAGTGTTGATGTTGAGAAACCCTGATTCAGAGGGAAAGTTATGGCCCTAAATATTAGGTAAGAAAAGAAGAGTGATGACTATGCTGGTAAGGTTGAGGATATCTTAGAAAACAGAGCAGAGGATAGAGAAAGGCAATAGGCAACTGTAATAACTTGGCAATAATGGGGACTTAGCCTGAGGCAGTGGCAACAGGAATGGAGAGAGAAAAGGGTTTTGGGGTAAAATGGACAGGATTTGGAGAGAAGTAAGGGAAAGAGGGGAGGAGAAAAATGAGATGGCTCAGTAGGGACACTGCAGGGTAGAACCAAACTGCAAAACGTCACAAATTTATTAGTCAACCATGGTAGACGACTGGGGCTGATCTTGAATGAATACCCACAAGAATTCAGCCTCAGGGAACCAAAGAGTCATGACTGGACTGCCGGGAGTTGACAAGATGGACGTGGGGGTCAAGGCCATTTCCTGGGAGGTGAGAAGACTGGAGGACTCAGGCTCCCAGAGAGAGGAGGCAATGGGGAGAAGGCATTTTTCCTGAACTATCAGTTATGAGATCACCTGAGCTGGGGGTGAAGTGGGCTGGAATTTACTTGTCCCCAAGTCCTTGTCTTGTTCACATGGACATGATGCAAGCCACTGCAGAACAGTTTCCAGTTCTACCATAGTAGAAAAAAGAAAGAAACACGACCACATGCACCACAGCTCAGAGTTTCAAAGACCACATTTAAAGTGGGCTTCAAACAGCCATGTGCAGCTCCAGCACACCCACACTTCAAGTCAGAGTAAACAGGGTTATGTTTACTAGCACCAAGGCCTAAAATAGAAACCCTGCAGCAAGCCCTTCTTTCATTAACGGTGTCTCTTTGATACCTAAGTGGGAACCACACAAGGGCTGGTGTCAACTGTTAATGCCAGAAACAGTGGCTGCTGTGGAATGCTTTCTTTCACATTTTATGGAGATTTTCAAAGGGCACCAGATTCATAGTGTGGGAACATCTTTGGTGGAAACGCTCAGATATTTTTCTCTTTGGCTGTAGCTGGTCTCCATGGTTTGATGCTCAGTATGGGAAGAGTCTCAGGCCACTGTAGGTTCATTGTTTAAAATAATGCTTAAAGCAGCCACAAAATTAACTCCTCTGAGCTTCTTTCAGGGTTCTGCAATGTTTTTGTACTAATGAGCGTTGTTTTTTTTCCATCTAGATGAAAGACAATCTACTCATTGAGGTAGCTGGTACATTTTATTCATTTATTTCCCATTAAACTCTGTCCCTGAAGTACACACAGGTATTTATTTGGTTTGTCAGTGTGTGGGAGAGAGATATAGACGCAGGGTAAGAGCCACAAAGAAAGACAAAGACAAAGTGACTAGTCTGTTTATGTTTCCTCCTCTTAGTTGTCTGTTCTGTTGAACCATCTGTATCTGAAACTGAGTCACTAGGACTTCCTCTAAGTAAGTGGTGATGAGAGAAGGCAGCACAGAGAGAAAGACTGAGATGTGGAGCAAGAAAGGACAAGAGAAAGAGAGAGGGAGAGTGGTAGGAAGGTGAAGAGCCTGGGTGGCCGTTTTTCTTTGCTCTTAACCAGCAGTTTCTTAGCTCTGGGTCTGCATGTTCATAAGACATGTGCATGTCACCGAGGATGGACCTGAGACAGGCCAGTAAGCCAGGACAAGTGGAACACGGAAATTGAGACAGTAGCTGAACAAACTGACAGAGCAACTTACAGCAGATACAGGTCACCTTCCTGGAAATAACATCTAGATCTCAATTGTATTTCAGCTCCAGATCCAGAAAAGCAGCAAAACCAGGTGGATGACACCAGGACCAGTCATGATGACTGATGAACCCCTGCCCTGACAGCGACCAATCAGTGAAGACCATGGCCCTGAAGGAGGACGCCTAGAAAACTGATGAATACTCTGCTGAAACCCTCCCCTGAGACCTCCCCTAAGATTCCCGTGTGCAAAAGAGAAATAAAAGCCTCAAGACAAAGACCCAGTGTGTGCTCTCCCTTTGGGGAGCCCCCCCCCGCCATTTCCTTTCCCCAACTTCTTCCCCCATGAGCATGCATCTCCTAAACCCTAAAGGACCCCACGAGACTTGCAACCTGGGGAGCAATGGGCAGCAGCAGCTCATCAGAGGCTAGTCCCCTGAACCTGCTCTCAAGGCCCCCTTTTCTCTGACTTCCCAGAGTGGCAGGGCAGCCCAGCCTGGGCTTTCCTGTTGCTTCTTCTATGATAAGCCCGTTTTTGTTTTACATCCCCAGCTTTAATTCCTCGTAGTCACCTGGACTCACGTTGTGAAATTTTTCCTGCACAAAGTCAAGAACCTACACACTGGACAACAAGACGGTGGTGTAGGTAAACATGGGGTACCCGTACCCCCCCACGACCACATCAAAATTACAACTAAAACATGGAACAAACATCATTCACAACCTCCTGAAATCTAGCTGAACAGAAGTCCTACAAGTAGGGAACTGAAGAAGCACATTGAGGTGGGTCGGGGCAGAGACGTGGGGCAGAATGGGGCAGAATTGCGGAAACTGGGACCCTAGTGAGGCGGTTTAAAATCGGAGGGATATCTTCACTGTGGAGGTTTCCTGGAGAAGTGAGGGGTCTCAGCCCCACATCAGGGCCCCCAGCCCAGGGTTCCAGGGCCAGGAAGAGAAGTCCCCACAACTTCAGGTTGTAAAAACCAGCAGGTATTGAGACTGAGGGACTCGGAGGCTGCTGGAGTCCCAGGCAGCTCCTCTTAAAGGGCCCACACAGGGACTCACTCAGACGCCCTCCCTCTGAGCTCTAGCACTGAGCAGAAGCTTGAAAGGAACCTGGGACATTCAGGGAGGAACTTGCCTGCAATCAAGGCGAGAGTTTGAGGGGCAGCTTTCTCCCAAATCGAAGAGCTGGAAGAGGCCATTGCTCCTTTGACAAGCCCTCCCCCCACAGAGCCTGCAGGCAGGCACCATATCTGAATCTCTATCAACCTGGCTTACACTTTTTGCCCTGCCCTGGTGATTCCCAGAAACTCTGCCCCTCCTTATTTGCAAGCTTAGCCAAGTCATTTCCAGGGGCTTTTCTATGCAAGTGGCCTCTCTTGCCTCAGGCTTAGGACTTTCCTAAAATCTCTCAAATAAGCAGCATCTGGTCTCAGCATGCCCCATTCCTCTCAGTAAGTGGCCCCAGGTCAGGCACTAGTGGCAGCCTGAATTGGTTCATAGCTTGACATCTCCTGGGAACCTCTAAGCCCAACAAAAGTAGCCACCATCTATGGATTACTGTGTAGCTCATGCTTGTTGGCCTTGGGAAGGGCACAGGCAGAGGCTGACTTTGCACCTCATGGGAGGTCCCAGAGACAGTGCACCCAGTGGTCAGTTTTGACCATGCTGGAGTACAACCTTACACCAAAGCCTCACTGGAGCCCCAATCCTGCTCCATAAGAGTGTCTCCAGCACAACTACAGGAGTGTCTCTTGTAGTTGCAACAGGTCCTCACAGCCGATTGGCCTGGGGGTCAATTCTTCTCAGTGACACCAATAGCAAACAAGGCTCAACTACAATAGGACAGTGCACACAGCCCACACAGGGGAGCACCTAGAAGGTGCAGCTCAGGCTACTGAGGAGATTGAGCCACTGAGCCCTACAGGACACCTCCTACACAAAGCCACTCTACCAATTCCAGGAGACAAAGCAGCTCTACCTAATACATAGAAATAACCACCAGGAAGAAGCCAAAATGTGGAGCAAAAAAANCCACTCTACCAATTCCAGGAGACATAGCAGCTCTTCCTAATACACAGAAATAACCACCAGGAAGAAGCCAAAATGTGGAGCAAAAAAAATGTCACAAAGGAAAGAAGAGAAGAAATCTCCAGAAAAAGAACTAAACAAAATGGAACAAAGTAAGCTAGATACAGAGTTCAAGACAATGATTATAAGTATGCTCAAGGATCTTAGTAAGACTTTTATGGAAACATAAAAAAGAACCAGTCAGAAATGAAGTCTACACGAATTGAAATGAAGAATAGTTTACAGGGAATCAACAGTAGAGTAGAGGACACGGAGACTCAAACCAGCAAGCTGGATTATGAGGAAGCAAAAAACACCCAACCAGAAGAGCAAAAAGAATACAGAAAGATGAAGATAGTGTGAGGAGTCTCTGGGACAACTTCAAGCATACCAACATTTGCATTATGGGGATGCCAGAAGAGAAGAAAGAAAGCAAGAGATTGAAAACCTATTTGAAAAAATAATTATAGAAAACTTCCCCTAATGATGAAAGAAATAGACTTAAAAGTCCATGAAGCACAGAGACTCAAAGAGGCCCACAGCAAGACACATCATAATTAAAATGCCAAAGGTTAAAGACAAAGAGAGAATCTTAAAAGCAGCAAGAGAAAAGCAGTTAGTTACCTACAAGGGAGCACCCCTAAGACTGTGAGCTGATTTCTCAACTGAAACTTTGCAAGCCAGAAGGGAGTGGCAAAAAAAAGTGATGAAAAGCAAGGACCTACAACACAGATTATTCTACCCAGCAAAGCTATCATTTAGAATTGAAGGTCAGCTAAAGAGCTTCACAGATAAGAAAAAGCTAAAGGAGTTCACCACCACCAAACCAGTATTACATGAAATATTGAAGGGTCTTCTTTAAGACGAAGCTAATGAATAAAAGAAACAGACAAATTAGACCCAGAGACGAAGCATGCAACAGACTGTTGTATCTTAGAGGGAAGAGGGAAGGGGGGTGGGGGGTGGGAAGAGGTTAACCAAAGAACTTATATGCATACATGCATAACCCATAGACATGGACAATAATGGGGTGAGGGCTTGGGGAGGGGGCAAAAGTGGGGTAAAGGGGGTTAGGGGGGAGGAAATATGGGACACCTGTAATACTTTCAACAATAAAGATAAATTAAAAAAAAAGAAAAGGATCCTACACACTACTGGTTGGCCCTAGGCAGACCTGCTCAGGGCCAGGTCCCCTTTCTGGTAACAGACCTACCTGATTTCCTGGGGCTACTGATTTGGGTCCTTGGGGTCCTGAGGGAAGAGCAGAAGGAAAAGGTGCTGGCAGCTTCAGGTTTCATCAAAGTGAAGTGGGAGTTGGGGAAAGGAAGGGAGGAGAGAGACCCAGGACATCTTGTTCACTGGCCAGTTGTCTTCCTGTAGTAAAAGTTAGGAAGGGAGATTGGTAGAATTTGTATAGAATGATTAAATTTTTTGTTGGCTGAGTTGATGGTTTTCAACTTCAAAATGTTAGCCTATTTGAAAATTTCTTTGCATACCAAGATGAACTTGCTTAACATCCTTCCAGGAAAAACAAAGATGTTACAATGAAAAGTTTTCTCTTTTATCCTGTGAAAGAATTCTAATAGTAATACCTCCCTGCATATCATAGCACCTGATGTTTATTTAAGTTCTTTTCCCAGCTGCAATCACACTTCATTCTGTGAGGAAGTAAGAGATAGAATGCCATCTCTTCTTTTTGTCCCTAGGACAAGGGTGTGCATCCTCCTTTCTGATAAGAATTATGTGATTAATCATCTCTTATCTTTTGATTTGGTTACAAATTTGGATCAGAACCAAATTTGTAGCTCAAACATCACTTATTCTATTTTTTTCTCGCTTTGATTTTTGTTTGTATTCCTGGGTCTGTTTTTGTTTTGTTTTGTTTTCTGATTATATTTTGCTTTTTTAGTCTCCTTTGAGTTTTGGTTAGAAGTTCATTGCATTAATTCAACAAGTATTTATTATTCCTCAAGCTCCTTTTTCCTCTTCCCTGTTTTATTTATTTCCCTAGCATTAACAAAACACCATCTAACACATTTGGGTTCAGAGAATTCTTTATTGTGCAATGTAGGATAGCAGCATCTCTGGCCTCTACTCACATGTGGAGCCTAGGAGCTTCACATATTTTATGTACTTACTGTTTATTACATATAACCCTTGCCTTCTTAACACTGTCAATAGAAATTAAGCTCTGTGGGGGCAAGAGTTTTGTCATTTTTGTTCCATACTGTATTTCCAGAGCCTAGAGCAGTGCCTGGCATATTGAGGGCCTTCAGTAAATACCATTTGAGTGGAAGAATCACCAACTCCTTGCCAAGTTCTGTGTTAGGAGATGGGAATCAGAGGTGGCTTCATGGGTGTGTGGCCTGCGTAGGCTCATGGGGTCCCACACTTAAAGAGGCCTCATGCTTGGTTTAATAATACTCTGCTGTTGCCATCTTGAAATTTCTAATACACTTTGAACAAAGAGCCCCATGTTTCCATTTTTACACTGGGATCCACGAACTCTAACCAGTCCTGGTGGGAATACACCAGTGTCATTACCTGCAAAAAGGTTTTGATCTACTGGAGAGAGGAATCATAAAAAAAGATACATGCCATTTATTTTAACATAAATGATACATATGTGTACACACACACCTGCATGAATCTTTTGAGGCAGAGACAATGCCTTTTCTCTGTTATCTTTCTTGTATAAGCCACACCCTTAAAGCACCATCTATGATTTTCTGTTTTCATTTTTTCTTTTTATTTTTAATCCTCACTTGAGGATATTTTTTCCATTGCTTTTCAGAGAGAGTGGAAGTGGGAGAGAGTGAGAGAAACACTGATATGAGAAAGACACATGGATTAGTCGTCTCCCGCACCCGCCCCAACCAGGGCCAGGGATCAGCTTGGAACCAAGGTACATGCCGTTGGCTGGAATCGNGAAAGACACATGGATTAGTCGTCTCCCGCACCCGCCCCAACCAGGGCCAGGGATCAGCTTGCAACCAAGGTACCATGCCGTTGGCTGGAATCGAGCCCAGGACCCTTCAGTCTGGGGGCTAATGCTCTAACCACTGAGCAAAACTGGCTAGGGCCTGTTTTCACTTCTTTAAAGTGAAAGGAGAGGCTAAAGGCACACTTGAAAAGAAATCTGACTGCAGAATTCTTCTGTAGTTTCATAATCTCCTCCCCTATCTTTTATAACTGTTTCACTCCTAAGTAAGCAGCAGGTTTTTTGTGCCTCACCTTAAGTCTTTCAAATTATTCAATTTAATTTTCATATAAATGAATACTTTTTGCACTCTCATTTCAGTGGCTTATATAATGTTTAATTTAATTATGTAAGTTACAATAGCATGCATACCTGGCATGAATCAATTTGGGAACAATACAAATGACTCTTGATAAACAAAAACTAAACAGGTAAGAAGTAGAAACATGCAGCTCTATTAAAGAGTGACCTGCGAGCTACCAGCATGTGGGTACCCCGGCTGCCAATCAGTGTGACTCACAGGGAGGTGGAACTGTTGGTGAATCTGCGAAGTCAGGTAATCAGAGTGTGGTTTAGAGGAGCTCTATTGTCATTGATACTATGAGAGCTAATAACAGGGAGATTCAGCTAGGTCAAGGTGATCACAGAAGGCTTCCCTGAGGAAGTTATGACTGAGCTGAACGCTAAAAGTAATTAAACAAATAAAGGGTAAGGGTGGTCCTGGTGAAGGGAGAGGAGTATTCCAGGCTGTAGGAAGAATATGTGCGAAGGGCAGGGACGTGGCATATTCAGAGAGNGGGTGGTCTTGGTGAAGGGAGAGGAGTATTCCAGGCTGTAGGAAAAATATGTGCGAAGGGCAGGGATGTGGCATATTCAGAGAGCTGGGAGAAGGCGGGCATAGCTGAAACCCACAGAATGAGGACAATCATGAGGCATGATGAGCTGGAGAGGTCAGGAGGGGAAGGCCTGACAGATTCTGTGACCATGTTAAGGACTTTGGGTTTTGCAGGAAGAGCAAGGAAAAATTTTAAACAGGGGATTAACATTATCAGACTCAAGTTCCATAAAGATCACTCTGGCTGCAATGTGGAAAATAGATTGGAGGGGAAGGAGAGCACATTTGGAAGATCAGCAACAGTCCTAGTAAGAGATGCTTCAGTTTTGACTAGGATTGTGACGATGAAAATGAAAAGAATACTTAGAACTTAGTAAAAAATTAGATATGGAGGGAGAGTGATGATTAGTCAAAGATAAAACCTAATGTCTGGCTTTTAAAACTGGGTAGATGATGTTTCTATTCATTGGAATATGAAACACTGGAAAATTATTATGTTTTAGGAGGAATAATCCTGAGTTAGGTTTTGGAAATTTCGAGTGCAAGGTGCTTTTGAACATGTAGGTAGAAGAGTCAAGTTGGATTTAATCACATAAGACTGGCTATAGGAGAAAGGTGTAGGCTGAAGATAAACATTTTCAACCATCTTTATATGATGAAACAGAAGTAAGGATTAGATCACCTAAGGTGAGAGTCCAGAATGAGAAGAGGATTTCTTAATGAAGTCCAATATTTAATAGCTGGATAGAGAATAAAGAGCCATAGAGGAGAAGCACAGTCAAAAATGGGGAAGAGAGCTGGGAGGTTGGGTTGTGAGAGTCATGGTGTTGCTGGAGGATTGGATTGGTGGGATTCCTCTGTTGCTAGTGGGAATGGGGTGGCTCTTGCAATATCTTTAGAAAAGGAATTTTTCTAAGTCTCACATGGGAGAGTGAATGGTTTTTATTGGTGTGGAATTATATTTCTCGGGTTGCAGAGTCCCATTGTCTTAGCTATGATGTTCAGTCAGTTAGGTATATTAAATGTATTTTCCAACTGTTTACATAAGAAATGTCCAAACCTGTAAGAACTTTTATGAGTTTGTTTGAGCCAAACTGACAACAATTGCCAGAAAGCAAAAATCTCAACAGATTGAGAAAATGCTCTGGAAAAACGGCAGTTTTACTACTTATTTTATACATCAAAATCAAAGGAGAAGAGAACCTAAGGGGGTTACATGAAATTCATTGGTGATATATTAGGGAGGCGGCAGAAAGCAAAGTGGGGCAATATATGCGGTTGGATAAACAGTAAAATGGATAGACACATGCTTCTTTTTTACATTGGTGGGTACAGGCTAGTTAACCGTATTTACAGCACATAGAGATGGTGTGTGGAGAACCAGGTAACAACGAGGGGCTCTGTGGTCTCGTGTTTTGGTGGTTGTGCCCTGAGAGGTCTGGACAGCTGGACGGCAGGGATTTTCTGACATTCCAAAGGTATGTTATCATAGATGCAAAAAGACAATAGACAGGCTCAGTTCAGGTAAAGACTGACACTTGTCAAGGAAGATACTCGCCTAGGACATGACTATCCACCATGACTCACTTTTAGTTAGGAAGGTTTCATTTCAGACCATCTTATGTGGTTCCTTTAGGCCTCTGAGTTAGTAAGGCTACCACGCAGGCCTCCTCTGAGCGTGTCAGGTTTAGTATGTGTCCCCTTTTTTGTTCACATGACAGGATAGTTTCAATTTATGATGGCTTTATCAGGAGGTAACCCCATCATAAACTGAGGAACATCTGTATATAATTTGCTGAAAGTGGTACAGAAAACCTGTAGCCAAGCTATGGCTATAGACAACCCTTCTGACTCATCAGAGCAGGGAAAAAAGGTCAGATTTAAGGGCTCTGGCAAATCACTCCTTCCTCAGAGCCTCGGCCTCTTTAGCTTTTCTTTGTTTGTTGTGAGGATGATATATGAAGACTGAGTAAAGAACTTGATGCAGTGTCAGTTTCCATGTCCTCCTTACCCCCCTCCCCCATTTTCTTCTTTCATTTTCTTCTTAATCCAAGAAGAGAGGGATGACATGAAAGAGGAGAGAGCGTATGGATATTTACCTTAAGAAGGGTGATGAGCTGGAAGTTGGGTTAACAGCTGGAGAGGTGTAGATTAGATGAAACAAACAACATTGGCTGCCAGACAGCTGAGGATGCAGAAGGAGGCATCAAGTAAAAATAGAAACTGTCTTTCCCTAGAAGTTTTTCAGCTGAGGCAATAATTCCCCTCTGGGTACTTCAGTCCATTTGTTTAGTGCAGTCATCTCTGGCCTTCAGAAGAAGTGACACATGAACAAGCCTGAGAACTTTGTTAGCAGTTCTGAAATCAAGTCTTCATTACCATTTCAGGGGAATAGTTAAATGTGACCACTAAAGTGCAGGCTTCCTTGGCCTCCTCCATGCACACGTGCAGATTCCTGTGTGTGCCAGGCGACTAAGTTGAGTTTCCAAGGGTGAATGAGGG